AGTCTCAACTCAAATCTAGCCTCAATGCATGCATTGTCGCGGCGGATGGCTATGACGTCGCACTAGAGATGTCGCTAGTTGATGGGCCGATTCGTGTAATACAATTGGCGAATACGCGGCCCGGACGGGATCTCAAACGAGATGCTGCGGCACCTCGGTCCTGTCGCGCGTGACGCCCTGCTACGTCTCATCAACACCTCGTGGGCGACAGCAGAAGTCCCAAGAGAATGGCGCGCGGCGACAGTGATTCCCATCCCCAAGGCCGGGAAAGACAAGAGGCTCCTCAGCAGCTACCGTCCCATTGCCCTGACGAGCCACGTCGGGAAGCTGGCAGAGCGACTGATCCTGGCCCGGCTCACCTACCTCAGCGAGAGCAGGGGCATGGTGCCGCCGGAGCAGGTGGGCTTCAGAGCTCACCGCTCTGTGGAGGACAGCATCGGCCGCCTCGTGCAGGAGGTACAAGATGGGTGGCAGCTCCCCCGACCGAGACACCAGAACCATCAAGACGGCGCCACAGCGCAGAAGTACGTCCTCCTCGCGTTCGATTTTGCGAGGGCGTACGACAAAGTCGACCACCGCCTCCTCAGACTGCGGTTGCTGGAACTGGGCCTCCCGGCTTGCATGGTGAACTGGGTGTGGCAGTGGCTCAGAGATCGTCGAGTCAAGGTAGAGGTGAACGGGGTGCTCAGCGGGGAGAGAGTGTTTAGAGCGGGCCTGCCCCAGGGCAGTGTGCTCTCGCCGTCCCTGTTTTTGTTATGGGCGGCGACACTCGTGCAAGATCTCCGCGACATCCCCGGTGTCTCACCGTATATGTACGCGGACGACACCGCAGCACTGTGCGCCGGGAACTCCATCCAGATAGCCAAAGACAGGGCCCAGAGGGCTGCAGACGCCCTTCTCGCCTGGGCAAAGAAGTCGAAGATGGTCGTTGCAGCTGAGAAGACCCAGATGCTGGTGTTGTCACAGTGGCACCGCGACGCAGTCGACTGCCAGATTAAGATGGCGGGGAAGACAGTGTCAGCCACGGACTCCATCAGCCTACTCGGCGTGCAGTTAGACCGTCTGCTCCACTTCGGCCCCCACTGCCATAAGCTGAGGAAGAAGGTCCGCCCACGCATCGCGCAGCTGCGTCAGCTGTCCGGACGCTCCTGGGGCCTCGAGGAGGACCTGCTCCGGACAGTAGCCAGCGGCTATGTCCGAGGAGCCCTGGAGCATGCCGCAGCAGCCTGGCTTCCTGCCACGCCGCCCTCCCACGTGGAACTTCTGGAGAGGGAAATGAGAGCAGCGGCGAGAGTCGTCACGGGGTGCACTCGCAGCACTCCGTCGGACGCGCTCATGGCGGAAGCGGGCCTTCTCCCGGTATCGGTGAGGAGAAGGACGCTGGCTGCGCGTTTCCTGGCCAAGGCGACTGCGCTCCCCCCGGAGGAGCCGCTCCATCGAGTAGCCGCGTCGGACGCCCCGGCCCGTCTAAGATCCGTGACGGGCTGGAGAACCCTGGGACGAGAGATGTGGGAGGCGGCCGGTGTCGGCCCCCCTATCGACCCAGTATCGCAGGCGAGCGTCCCCCCGTGGGAAGTGAAGAGCGGGGTCACCATCAGCCTGGACGTGGGACCACTACCACTGAATGCGACTTCCACACAGAAGAGAGACGCGGCGACCTGTCACCTAGGTAGTCTGCCACAGTGCGCGACTTGGGTTTGGTCCGACGGCTCGGTGGAGGGAGGCATCACAAACGGCGGCGCTGGCGTTTTCATCGAGGACCCGGACGGCCAGCAGCACCTACTCACGGTGCCGGCGGGGAACGTCTGCTCCAGCTACCGTGCTGAAATGGTAGCCCTCAGAGAAGCGCTGAAGTTCCTGCTGGACCGACAAACCCTCCCTCCTGAGCCGATCGTGATATGCACGGACTCCCAGTCAGCTCTGGCGACACTCCGGGGTGGCCCCTCTACCCAAACAACCCTCATAGGAGGAGAAATCTGGGCGGCGCTTCAACAGCTGGCGGCCCGCGGCAGGCGTACCCACCTACAGTGGGTACCTTCCCACTGCGGCCTGCCCGGGAACGAGAGAGCGGACGAGCTGGCGAAGCAAGCTTCAGCACTGGACCAAGAGGAAGTCCCCGTCGACGCCATGACGGTGTACCGCGCGGTGGCAAGGACGGCGCGGGACCAGTGGGTCAGCGACTGGCCGCGCGGATGGTACCGCAGCCTCATGGGAGCGAAGCTGCCGGGACCAGTCAGACACCTGGATCGAGCGGAGGCGGTGGATGTGCACCAGTTGCGAGCGGGGCACTGGTCAGGCTCCGCCCAGTACCTCCACCGAATCGGCCGGAACCCGTCGCGACACTGCCCGCAGTGCGAAGACGTGGACTGCCAGGGTGCCCGTTGCCCCCTGTGCAGAGAGACGGCGGATACTCCGTACCACGTCCTGGTCGAGTGCCCGGCCCTGATGGGCGCCAGGCTGCGACTCACCGGGACAATCAGACCCAACAGGGAAGAGGTGCGGAGCGACGGAGTTGTCGCGGCCCTGGCGGCCGCGTTCAGGACCCTACAGAGCCGTCAGGCTACAGTCGACTGAGGTCGACCTGGAGGGAACAAACAACAACAACAACAACAACAGCTTTACGGACACGGAGCAGACAGGACTGGGTCTGTCCCAAAATGATCCTTCATTGACGATAGCAAGATCATAGATCTCCAAAGAGTGCTCAACAGAGGAACATTCAGAACAAAAGAGCAATACCGAACCCAAACCCAAGAGCAAGGCAACAAAGCCCCACTATGATGACAACTGGTGCAATACGACATGGCACAATCGAAAATTAGATCGCACCTTCACAATAACTCTTCAACGTTCTCTACCCGCGCAACGCTTAGCGATTTCCTGTCGCCAGCATGGTGTTTTGCGCGACAGTTTACATATGGCGACACTTATCGCCACCAGTACAGTGACGCGTATGATGACATAATTGCGCTCCTTATTTTTGGCTATCAACCAACTCGTCCTCAAATGTCACATTGCCTGTCATGAGCTTCACAAAAACGACACAGATGATAAATTCAGTAGCCTTTTAGCGCATAATATTAACCATCAAAAGTCAAGTCGAACACACCAAAATATATGGGTAATTATCGCCCAGCGAAGTTGAAAAAAATACAACTACCGCACAGCGTAGTTGAAGTCAATCACACGTAGTTGGATTTCAACCATATCGGTATTGTCTGCATGTTTAGCACACACACACACACGAGAAGCTTGCGTTTCGATGCTTCTAAAAACACATTAGTCGTCAGTACCGGGTCCAGGAAGGCCGCAGGAGAAACGGAAGAAAAGAAAACTGACACAGTACTGCCTTCATATCAGGCAGCTTCCTGCGTAACCACTGCTTCTGTCCAGCCATCCTTTGACGACAGATAAAGTCGCGAACAAAATCACAACGAGCACCGACCTGACCCGACCCGACAACGACCCAGTAACACCGACACCGACAGCTTGGCTGGAGTCAGGTCAATGTGCACCGTTACCACAAATCGATGTGACACGCGCCAAAGCGTGCCGATACCGTTGTCACGAAAAGGCATCGTCAGGAAAAACAGCTAAATTACCTACCGATCAGCTGGCGGCAGAAATGATAAACCAGCGATCCACGCCAGCCGATAACGACCGGCAAACAAGTGGCCACGGCTGGATTGATAAAACAGAAAAAAAAATCGCCTGCTCACCGCACCGTGCCATCGCTCGGAGGAGGGGGGGGGGGGGAGGGGGGCTACGCGTCATCGACCCAGTGTTAGCGAGTCTGGCACACCGGCCTCGTTGTGTACTGCGTGCGGCGTATACAGTATACACGGCATTACATACACGGCGCTATTTTTACAAACGTGGAGGAAATCCGGTCATGGCCGGCCAGAGGCTGGAGCTTTGGAGATGGAGCTTTGGAGATGCAGCCTCGAAATGCCTTGTGCATGATTTTGGGCGTGTCCATTGTTCAATGCTATGGTTAAATTACATCGCAGTTCTTCGCAAATACATCTAAGCTGAACAATAATTTTCCACGGCAAGTATTGCGACTATTCCTTTGTTCATCCAAGGTTCAATACATCTCTTACGAAAATAAACTAAAGAAACACAGCACCGCACTATTGGATAAAACACATTAAAAGACCAAAGCACTCCAATGAACGAAATACGAATCAAATTTTTAGGCTTTTGAACAAAGCTGTTTACAAGGTATTGCATTCGGGACCTACTGCTGGAATCAAGTCGACATCATTGGGACAAACCAATTTCAATTCGGCATTTCTCGGAAAGGCAAACAAAGGTATTCTATTCCAGGCGTATGACTGCTGTGAAGGTTGGATGTCACCATAAGGAACACAAATGTCACATTTCATACGTGCCCCGAGCCGATTATTGCAGTAACCCATTTGCGAGTGACGCATGGGACGTCAGCGGCTCGTAAACTTAATTCTAGAAATCACAGTTGGCGCCATTAAAAAAAAAAACAAGAATTTAGTCCCAACCTTTTGAATGGAATGATTCACAAGAAACGTGGAGTACTTGTAAAAGTATTTTTTGCCAGTCTACGGCATTCCCACCATCCTCTGTACGATGCAATGCGTTGAGGAGGCCAACCAGGTAAGATAACCGGGTAAGATTCGTCATATTAAAGGATATCCTTCTTTTAAACGCCATTCTAAACGGTAAGTAGATGGGATGGGGCGCTTGGGGAATGGGGATAGCTTACTCATGAATGAGAGGGGGCATGCAACCAAAAGGCAGTTCACAGGAGCCATCGTATCGAGCCACGAATACGATAAACAGATGCATAAACATCTACTTGCCCTGGATACGTTAACAGACCGACAAACGAGCCCCAGGGGCATACAGCCCGGATCATATCATCCAAAGCTCACAACGCTCATCGCTCATATCATCCAGCACAGGAAACAGACTACATTGCCGGAAACACTTCCCAACGGCCCGGATGCAGGTGGAGTACTCACCTAGTCGCTGGTTGAATATCTTGTCGAAAGTGACTTCGCCCATCTTCTCCATGTATTTGTGCATTACACTCCGCACGCTGCAAATGGAAAAGAGATGTCAGAGACGACAACGGACGCCTACGCGACAGCAAATAGCTTTATAAATCTTGCTTAACTTGAATTCGGGGTTACATGCTAATGGAATGAGACTGCATATCGTTCCTGTATATGCTGGAAGAGGGTCAAAGGATAGCATGGTTAAAGAAAACGATCCTGCTGGCAAAAACAAAAAACGAAATCTTTCTTCATTTTCGGGTCCAGTTTCGTCCGAACTCCCCCATAATCAGGTAATCTACAAGTATCTATTTCTAATAGGAAGACAGCTAATCATGAACACATTGTATTCAAATAGCCTGCGTGGAGAATCGTCTTAACCCATCAGCTCCCTCAGACACCCATCCTAGGCAGACCGCGACTCCTCCATTTCAGTCCGAGTCTCGGTAGTGCGCGGAGCAGCCCCGTCCGTGATCCCATCTAGCCGCCTCTATCGGGCCGTTCATTTAGCGCAAGTGCCGGCGAAATCCGGTACCGATGGCCGACTGAGCTGGTGAGGGGCGTGGCGCGAGCCGGCTGCCATGGGCCGACCGTGTGGCCGGGATGGCCGGCGAAATTGAGCTGCCACCAGCAATCAGTGGTCGCCATCGAGCATAAAGTCGTGCCTTTCAACACCCTCCGAGCAAAGCACGGCGGGTGAGCTAATTGGTGGAACAGCCCGTCACTTTCGGAAATGTAGGGGAAGTTGTGGGATATGAATAATATGTATCAGCTTCATGTTTGTCATCGAATTATTTTTTATCCGTCTTCTATGTTTTTAACCCGCGCCCCGTTGGGCTCTGCCGAGCAACGCGCCCCGTTGGGGGGGGGGGGGGGGGCATTTTGGCCCCCCTAAGATCTCGAGAACCACGCAACCTAGAGACAAGCGGCAAACGGTGTTAGATAGCCCTATCAGGGAACTACCTTGTGACCCAATTTTATTGACCTAAGTCAAACCGATGACGTCACAGGTCAGGTCAAAGGTCCAATTTTCACCGTTCACAGGCATTTCAAGGAATGCGTTGTAAAATCGAGTAAAATGCATTTCATTGAAAATCATCGATGGGGAAATGTTCTTCAAACACATATTTTGCTATTTGAGGTCACTGATACCAGGTCAGGTCACAGAGGTCAGGTCACGGGGGGTCACAATATGAAAGTGTCGTGTGATACATGTCCATTTTACATGACAAATGCGATTATGTGGGTCAGGCAGCCTTTGGGGCCAGCTTAGGTCACGTTTTGGTCAAGGTCAGGTCAAGGTCAGGTCAAATTAGGTCAAATTTCAAAGTTAATCTTTTTGCATAAAATGGGTATCGAATCGATGCAACTCGTCACGGGGAGTTCAATGGTGGTCTTTGTTTTGCCGTACGTGGTCTAGAATCGCTAAAAATTGAGTTCAAAAATTTGACGTCATCATTTTTGAACAGTTTTTTTCGCTATAACTTGGCCAAAAAACGAGATATCGATCTGAAATTTGATATGTATAGAAGAGCGCAGGGACTATCACATATATTCCGGTTTTTTCGATATTTGGAAAATTTTTGGATTTTTTTTTAGTTTTTCTAAAAAAATCTATTTTTTGAATTTTTTGGGGTCAAAAACCCAAAATTTTGAAAATCCGAGATAGCAGTTTTGTAGCGCCGCTTTTTGTCTACTAGACCATATAAAGAACTTTGAAATTGCTTGATAACTGTAGATTTGGTGAGCGTTTCAAGATTGCATGTGTTTTGCTCATTTTTGCTCGAACATGACCTCAGTTTGACCTCAATAACTCCTGACCTAAGGTGACCTAAGACTTGAAATTTGGTGTGAAGGTGTCAAATTGATGCCCGGGAAGGTACTGAAAATTTGGCGGCGCCAGCGCCGCCGTTTTCTTGCTATTCAGGAAAAACCACAGGGGGGGGGGGCCAAAATGCCCCCCCCCCCCCAACGGGGCGAGGGTTAACTGATAATGTTCCGTCTGTGAATATCTCATTAGTGTATACCAAGCTAGTCTCAACAATGCATCTTATCCGTGCCATTCACAATTTATAACGCAAGGTGATCATAACTTAGCATGTGTATCTTTGATCATCGCTTCTCGTGCTGATGGTAGAAACAGATACAACTGTTTCTTACATCAGCGCAAGTGGTTATGATGACCGTGACGAGGCTAAGCGAAGAACGTAGGTAGTCGATCAGGCAGTCATATGCCATCGTTAAAAACTTCGTTCCGACAACAATGTCCTTACTGGTAAGACCACGGGCCGAGGAACACGAGAGACGACAGAACGATAGGACTACTAACGGTGCCCGACTGTTGTATCTGTTTGTTGACTGACAGATATGCTGGATATCAATGTATGTAACGTAACTAGCACGACACGTTTCTGAAAACGGCGGATGCCTGGGTGATGACAGATTGTAGACTGATAGCCAAACATGATGTAATGTAATTTCAGCCCGTCCGGGTACTCGGGTGATTTAAACATCCTGGGTCCTTTTCGTCTAGACAGATGGTATCAGAACATAGCAAAACTGGACGAGCTTATTAGAAAAGGGCGAAATGCCTTCACCAGCGAAGGTAATAGTGAAACGCCTACACTTGTGAACAATGCTTGCCATTTGCCCGCAATATAAGGCAAATAAATCGCGATGTGCAATGTTCGTGCCGATGACTGTCAAACTGACGCGAAGTTGATTTACGAGTGCGTTGCTGTGTTTGACTGCGTGTGCTTCAAACTCACGCAGAGATAAAGATTCGCACGCCAAAGCGGATCTGGGCGTAATCCGGTCGGCCCGACGGCTCTAGGCGGCGATTAGAGAGATAACACTAGTTCGCACTGTCGATAGTTCAAACAGTAGACGGTCCTCAGCCACCCGTGTGAAAAGACACTTCACACGAGACATGTTAGCGCGGTCGTTGATATCAGGTTTCTTACGCGACATTCTCGAGCCGTATAACGCGAGACAGATGTATTGATAGATGAATGCTAAGTTAGTACGGGTAAAGAGTTTCATTGAAGCAAGCGCCTAGCTAGCACCGAATGCGTAATAGCATAGCATCAGGTACGGCTTGGCGACAGACTGCTACAGGTACAGACGCTGTGAAAACAATTACAAACGCCAGCCAGAAGCTCTAGCTTTTATTGCCACTGGCGGTCACGCAACTGTATTTGATTACTCTGACTTCTTGTTTACTGTATTTGATTACTCTGACTTCTTGTTTACTGCGTACGCCTACCAAACTTCTTTTTTCATCAGCTAAAAGGCAGCATCAATCGCTAAACTTCGCCCCTAATTCAGCTAATACTCCGTTGTTGTCTCAGAAGCGGTGTGTATCACCGGCCGGTAGGGGAGCAGAAACATCTCCGGGATGTGCCGCCCGCCGGGGAAGTAGGCGGCCGTCCACGCAACAATCTCATCCGCCAGTCGCGTGATGGCAGTGCATCGGACAGCGATCTTGGCACCCACTTCCCCCGAAATGGATGGCCTCCCCGCGGCTTCCCGACAAACACAAGTGCAGCTGCACGGCTCCGGCTCCGTGCGCAGACGGCTCCGGTATGGCCTCTGTTTCAAGGCACGACGTTACAGTGCGCTACGCTACGTTATGGTATTGGTGCGGAGTTTGAGACGAATTGGCCTCAACAAACTCGGACGCTACCGCGTTGCGAGCGTCCGAGTTTGTTGATGTTTCCATGGAGCCCCAATACAACGATACGCGTAGCGCGCTGTAGCGTCGTGCCGCGAAACAGGGCCATGAAGGGCTGTACTCGGTCAAACACCGTGCCCATCTCACACCCCAGACGAGCCCCAGCCCCGCAGAATTAGCGATCTGTCGAAACATTAATGGCGTCTGGCAGACAGCGGCCGCGGCTCGTATCTGACTCGCTGCCCGTGGTGACATAAACAAATTATACTCGTGGACCGTTACCGACGAAACAAGCACAGCCAGCCCACAGCTCAGGACCGAGCAACCGCGGGAAAATGACGAAATCCTGTCAGTCCGGCGAGAGTTTTAAGAAATTTTCGACCCAGGGGCGTGAAAAGCAAACCATATAGGGTATAAATCTGGTTTAGGTTTCCGAGTAGTACCGTTCATTCAAGAGCCCCTGTTTGATTGAAACATCGATGAGACACAGTCACGTGTATACCGAGTGATGCAAGTTAAGTAAACATCTAGTTACCACGAGCCATCAATCAACTGCCTTTACTAGACTTGACCATTGAAGAAACTTCTTACATATACCATGTCATTTAGGTACAGTTTCAACCAGCACACAAAATAACCAACGTCACTAGAAATTCAACAAGCCCCATCCACCATGCTGCCTCCCATAGCCCAAAACGGGCGCCTCTGCCCTCCCTCTCCACCAGTCAGTGCCACCATATCATGGACAAGACGGTGACGGTACCAGCAGGGGCGACATCAGCGGTAGCAGTGACGACACATATGATCAATATCTCCCCCCAGCGTCATTATGGGCAGCAAGTGGTCGCCTACGAGCACTCACCGGTGGCTCGTTACATAGGCCGACACGGAAAATTAAAGACGACCGCCGAGAGCACAACGGAGAGACGGTCGATAGTTATAGCGCGTGGGACAGAGGGCAGAGGGGAGGGGTGTGGTGCGTGGGATGCAAAAGAGCTTCAAAGGTCAGCGGCGAAACGCCAGGCAGAGTGGTGATGGGGAGACAAGGAAGAAGTGTGAGCCACGGGAGCAAAAAGCCAAAGGCGACACAAAACGAAAAAATAGCGGTGGAACGAGCTGTGGAACAGAGAAAAGAACGAGGAAAAAGGCATCGAAGTAAAAAGTTGCCACCGTGGATAAATGATCTATTCGATAATAAAAATGAATCGACGATGAGCAGCGAAGCTCCAAGAGCAGCTGCTGTCAGGAGCTGGGCTGGGAGAGGAGGAAACATCCGACCGAGATCTAGCCCTAAATCTCAGGCCAAAACACTTCATCAGCTCTCCCATCTACAATAACCAAGCCAACAATGCCACATCACAGGTTCACTGA